TCTCACAGTTCTGGAGGCTAAAAGTCCAAGATCAAGGTGTTAGCAAGTTTGATTTCTTCTGAGGCCCCTCAGAAGGTGCTCCTTTCTTGCTATGTTCCCCATGGTCGTCATCTAGCCTCTGTCCTAATCTCCTCTTAAAAGGACACCAGTGTGGGCTTCCCTGGGGGCGCAGTGGTTGAGAGTCCGCCTGCCGATGCAGGGGACATGGGTTCATGCCCCGGTCCGGGAAGATCCCACATGCCGCGGAGCGGCTGGGCCGGTGAGCTGTGGCCGCTGAGCCTGCGCGTCTGGAGCCTGTACTCCGCAATGGGAGAGGCCATAGCAGTGAGAGGCCCGCGTACCACAAAAAAAAAAAAAAAAAAAAAAAAAAAGGACACCAGTGATACTGGATTAGGGCCCACCCATATCACCTCACTTTACCTTAATCACCTCTTTAAAGGTCCTATCTCCAAATAGTCACATTTTGAGGTATTGGGAGTTAGGACTTGAACATATGAATTTGGGGGTGGGGGAGGGATATAATTCTGCCCATAACACCACCTCTTAGGGTTATTATGAAGATTAAATGAGATAATATATCTAAAACAAAGACCAGGGGACCTAGAATGCTGTACGAGCTTAATAACCGTTCAAGGTAACTGAACACTTACTTTAGGCATAAGGGTATCTGACAAGTCACAAACCTTTCTCTGCTAGGATATTGGCTGGAAGTGCCCTGGGGGCTTCTCTCATCCAGGTCCAGGAACATCTTTGCCTTATGGTCTAAAGTCCCCAACTTGAGCTCACAACTGTTCTGTTCTGTTCTTCCTGTGGAGAGTTCTCAGACTTCCTTTCTGTAGGAAAGGAAGACTCCCCAAGGTTAGTCTTGAAAACGAGGAGACATTCTGTCCCAGCTACTTATAGGTCTGAGAATGCCTTTCCAATACCACTGTAATTTCTACTCCTTGGGCAAGCCACTTATTGAAGTTTAATGACAATCACTTACATTTATAAAAAGCCACTTTCAGTTTACAAAGCTCTTTTCCATGTATTCTCTCTCTTGATCCTTATAACATCTGTAGGAAGGATGTTTTTCTCTATTTTATAAATGAAGAAAATGAGGCTGTGAGGAGTAGCATCATCGTCCTAGGTCATACAGTGGCAGAGATGCACCTCAAATTCTTGCCTTTGGGTTCCAATATGTCAGGAGTAGCTCACCCTTTCAGGCATTTTTCTACAATATAAATAATCCAGTACACCAGTCCAGGTTGGGGGAGATGTAGGTAAATTATTTGGGACTATTTTGACTGGAAGTGACAAAAACGCAACACAAACTGGCTTCAGCAAAAACTGAATTCATTGCTTTACCTAACAGAACAATCCAGAAGCAGGTCTTCAGGCATGGATGGATCCAGGTGCTCAAATTATGTCACCAGGACTGTCTCTCTCCATTTCTTAGCTTCTCTTTGTGTTCACTTTATTCTTAGACAATCTCTCTGCTTGGGGTGTCAAAGATGCCCCCCTGTGGTTGAGGCTGAAGCCCCAGCTCAACAAACTCAGTAAAAGGGGAACAATCTCTTTCTCGTAAACTGCAACAAATGACCTGGATATCATTCTCAGCTATTTGGCTTGGCTTACGGGCCCACCCAGAGCCAATCATTGTGTCTAGAACAATGGAATATGTTCACTGTCCAGGCCTGATCGTTTGCCCGGCTCTGGAGAGGAGTAGGGGGAGTCTCACCAAATCCAGGGCCTGAGTGAGGGGGAAAGGAGTTTCTTTAAAGACAAAGTACTGATGTCAGAAGCGGTGTGGGTGGCAGGCAGCTCTCTCCAGGGTGTCATCGCTCTGCAGAGCTAGAACAGAGCAACCAGTGAGGAGCTGGGGGCCCATCTTAGCAAGAACTCTCAGTTCTTCCCTGGAGAGAGAGTAGTAAGTGGACTTCTGTGATTTTTTTTTCCTGGAGTGCCTAGCTTGGCTCAGCAGGATAGGAAAAAAGACAATAATTCATGGCAGAATAAGGAGAAAAGATGGAACTTCTGGCTCCGGTAACTTATATTCAGAACAGTACCCACACCAGGAGCACCCACAGAAGGAGACTTTGAGGTGCCCTTTGATGATGACTTCCCTTCCCCCTCTTCCCAGCACCTTCTGTCTCCCCATGAAGCTGTGAGCTCCAGGAGGGCAGGGACCACATCTGTTTTACCCACCACCTTCTCCCAGGGCCTACAATAGTGCTGTGTTGGCACACTGCAGGAGCCTATCACATATTTATTGGGTGGACGAAAAAAATGAATGAATCAGGTTGATCACTTGAATCGGCAGGATGGACTCACCTCTTTGTACAAGTCAATCCCTCTCTTTGGTCTCTGTTCTCCATCTGTCAAGTGGGAGAAGGTGTAGAATGAGACTCTCTTCACAGCCCCTTCCAGCTCATGCTTCTGGGATCTTAGGGTTCTCAGGAGACAGCCTGGATGCCTCTTCAAGGAACCAGTGGAAGGGGAAACCAAACTGATTGAACATACTGTCTCAGGTGAGATGACTTCACATGGGTCTGTGGTCCCCAAACTGTGGGGGACTGCACATTTTTTTTTTAATTTTGGAAGGAAATAACACTGCCTGTTTCTTATTTTGCCAAATAAAGCCACTGGCGTCGGGGAGGGGGACAACTGTCATTAACTATCATCACCATTTCTTTAAAAAATGGAATTTTTTATACCAGGAAGGCAGCAAGTACATCATCTCAGAAACAAAACAAAACAAAACAAAAAAACAGTCCCTCTACCCCGGGAAAAAAGACAGGTGGCAACCTCACATGATGATAATTACGTGCTTTTTTTGCAGATAGATCTAAATTTCACCAGACTGATCCCTGTGTATGGTCCAGTATTTGGAACCTACTAACAGAGATTATTTTCACTACCTCTCAACACCTGTGAAATGGGGCTTAATCTGCCCACTTTACAGATGGGGAAATAGAGGTTTAGAGAGCAAGTGCAAGGTCACGGAGACAGTTAAGTAGTAGTCAGAGCTTTCTGGATGACAAGCCAGATCATCTTGGCAGATCCTAAGCCAAAAGGTATTTCACTGCAGGGAAGAAATGACCTGCACTGGCTCCCTTGGAGTGTCCCCTCATTTTCTCGGGCCTAACCGCAAACTGCCTGGACTGGTATGCTCCGTTCTTTAACACACCCTCCTGATGTGTCCGCTTCATGCCAGGCACTGGGAGAGTGTAGGGAGAGAAACCAACACGTTCCCAGCCTCCTTTTCTCCTGTCCCCATACTCACCCCGTGTCCCACTCTCCAGGCCCAGCTCCACACACTGGCGGCCAACGAATCCCCACCGCGGGCGTGGGCCGCTAACAGTTTAGGAGGTTCCCTCTCCCAGAGGTGCTGGCAATTTCCTAGGAGACTCTGGGAACCTTCAACGCCTTCAAGACCCAAAGGACTGGAAGCGTAACGGTGCCACTCGACAGGCACTGTGGTAGGCTGTACCCGAGGTAATTTGGGAGCAAGGGATCAGTTCAAACGCTGTGAACTAACACCCTGTTCTGCCCCTGCAGCGTTCCCATGGGCTTTGCGTGGACCTACAATCGCTCAGCTCCGGCCGGAAGGAAGGGGGTCCCCCAAATTAGAAGGCCTTACTGTGGCGGGGGCTTACTGCTCCGGCTGAGGGACCCCAGGGGCCGTGCCGACCCCTCTGCGGGACTGGCGGACACCCGAGCCCCCTTTCCTGTTCCGCTCCGCCCCGCACGCCGGCGGCAGGAACGCGCCTCCGTCGGGCCGCGCCGGTGCCCGAGAGCTCGCGCCTCCGCGCGGGAGCGCGCCCCGGGGAGAGCCCGAGCAAGATGGAGGCCGCGCCGAGGCCGCCGCCTGGGCCCGGGAAGCCGCCGCTCGGAGCGCCGAGCCGCGGCGCCTAGGCCGTGGCAGTCCCGGACCCACTGCTCCGGACCGGGCCCAGGTTGGTCTCCCCTCACCCCCCT